AAAATTTTGGATAGTTTAGTTATAAAAAACAAAACAAAAAACAAAAAAAAAACAAAAAAAAAAAAAAAAAACACGAAAAAAAATTGCTACTACAAATATGCAAACTCCATCAATTTGGGAATCAGTCTCAAAAGTACAGTAGAGCCTCCTTGTTGATGCACGCGAACACGCCAGCAACCTGTTGCGATGTGAAGCCGTGGGCGGTGGTTGGTGCGGGGGGATGGGGGTGTGGGTGTGGTCGGTTGGGCTTGCTTCCAGCACTGGCTCGGTATGTCGAAATATTTTGGTTCTAATAAACTAAGGTGAGTCTCGCTCGAGACTCACAGAATCTCTCTAACTATATAATTTATTGTTAAGAAATTCAAGGCCAAAGTGATTTTAACAGTTCAAGAACTAGAAACAAACTAATTTCGTTGCCTATTCAAATCATTAACAAACATGTACATTAACCGGCTAAGTAGGCCCAGCACCTGGCCTCGGGCAAAAGGTTGGCGGCAAAGCTAGGTAGACCCTTGACTTGAACCCGTTGCGAATTATAAACAAAAGTGCTTTTAAGCGCATTTCGTATTTCGGTGTTGCCAAACGTATTGCTGTGCACAACAATGGTCACATTTTTCGACCAAAAGTTTCTTTTTATACCCTGAACCCATTCAAAATGGGTTTAAGGCTATATTGTATTTGTGGGAGAGCCAAATGTATGTAACAGGCAGAAGGAAGCATCTCCGACCCCATAAAGTATATATATTCTTGATCAGCATCAATAGCCGAGTCGATCTAGCCATGTCCGTCTGCCTGTCTGTCTGAGAGACCTGAAATCGATGTAGGTGCTCCTAGTTTCCGCGCAGATCGAGTTTGTTTCCGATAATCGATAACTTGCTCCGTTTCCAAGCAATCGATAAAAGTATCGATATCCTGTTTTTTGGGCAATTTTGGTAAATAATAAGAGCTAGAGTCACCAAACTTGACATATAGTCTCTAAAATAGAATATATATGCATTTGATGTTGGACGAGGAGGGTTCAGGGTATCCCCTAGTCGGGAGCTCCCGGCTAGAACCTCTTACTTGTTTTTTCTTTGCCAAACTGAAAGTTTTCATCCCGAATAACAGTTTTTGGTCACATTTTTTGTTGTTGTTGTTTTTTGTTTTGGTTTTGTTTTATCAGTTCGGTTATTAAATTTGTTTTGGCTTTGGCCCTTTTGCTAGCCTGTCACCGCAATTGCATAGCCGGAATGCCCCCAAATGTCCGCCGTAATGCGCTTAAGTGTCCGTTTCAGTCTCCGTTAGATCCCTCCCCCTCGCCCCCCAGCCCGGGCACGGCAACAGCTGCGATGCCAAAGATTTTCTGCAAAAAAGGCTACACCCTACAATTAGGCGCAAAAGTTGAAATACTCTATCTAGCGAGCGGCACGGCATATGCATTTATTTATTCATTTATGAACAATTTATCTGAAGTCTAAAGCTTTGCAGGTCTTTTGCTCGGAACCAGTTCTCAGTGCATTTGAACTGATTCGCAAGCTAAAAATGCTAATGAATCGATTTTCTAAAGTCAATTGCTTAGTTCCTTTGCGCGGAACCAGTTCTCAGTGCATTTGAACTGATTCGCAAGCTGAAAAGTCTATATGAATTGATTTTCTAAAGTCTATAGCTTAGTAGGTCTTTTGCTCGGACCCAGTTCTCAGTGCATTTGAACTGATTCGCAAGCTAAAAATGCTAAATGAATTGATTTTCTAAAGTTTATAGCTTAGTTCCTTTGCTTGGAGCTTGTTCTTTTGTGCTTTTGAACTGGTTCGCAAGCTGAAAAAAATCTGATTGAATAGTTTTTTAGAAAGGCTTTTGCTTGGAACTAGTTGTCAGTGAATCCTTTGCTTGGAACCAGTTCTTAAGAAAGTTTTCAAAGTTTATTGTTAACAATAAATTATGTATAAGCAATAATATTCCAAATACACACAAAACAATTATTAACTATAATACACAGGCATAACATTTTTTTGCAAAAAAAGAATTAAATTATTTTAAAAAAAAATGCCACAATTAAAAGCACGAAAATAAAGAAAACATAGGGTAATAGAACAAAATGAACGCGCACAAGGAACCAGTTCATGGGCGGAACGCGTCTCACTCATATGTGGCGACGTGGTGGGTGGGGAGGGGAGGGGAAAGAGCAGCTGGTCAGACATGTTGTCAACTTTGCGAAAAAGCGGAAGTTAGAAATTTCACAGTGCGCTGCCGACGACCTGCTCCTGCTACTGTCCTGTCCAGGATGCTGCTCGGCATGCAACATAGAATTCATTATGGCGGAAAATGTAAAAGGCATAAACAGCATCGCACAACATCCGCACACACACACACACACATACGGACGCAGACATATGTAACGGGCCAGTGCATGGCTGAGCAGAGGCCAGGAGCAGGAGCAGGAGCAGAAGCAGGAACAGGAGCAGAAGCGAACGGCCAGTCCGAGTCCGAGTCCGAGTCGGACTGTTGGCCAGTTCGACTTCAGTGCCCGCTTAATATGCTAAATGCTGCAACTTGTGCGAATTTAATGCGACTCAGTCGAAAGGTCAAGCCACGTCCGGGTCGACATTGGAGACAGTCAACGTACTCTTAAAGCGCAGGACAATTTCAACAGGCGCAAACTACATTCTTATACTATATTAACGTGCTATTCCTTTCTGCCAATCAACGACATTAGTACATGCATGCGAATTGCAGAGCTGCTACACAACAGCTGCGCAACTGTGGCGTGCTGATGGAATTTTGCTTATCGATTGCACTCTGAGTACTTGTCGCGCGCAGGCATCGAACGTGGCATCGAACGGGGCATCGTTAGCTGAGCTGCACGCGCACACATTCAAATTTGCTGCGATGTGGAGAGCTCGCGAGTGGAGAGATTATGACTACAGAGCTTTGCATGCGTGCGTGTGTGTGTGTGTGTGTATGCAAATCTGGCTTTTTGTTAGCGTGCGAGTGGGAGCGCAAATCGAAAATGATAATCTACAACGTCAAGGGTGCGGTTGCGGGTGCGAGTGGGGGTAGGGGGGGGCACATAAAGAAATGGAAAAAAATGAAAAAGTTTGCGTTAAAGCCAATGTAGTGCTGCTTGCTGCTGCTGATGGCTATTGGAGAGTGTGGAAAGGGGATAGTGGGGGGGGGGGAGGGTGAATATTTGTGCTTCTGTTATCGATGCCGCCATTGTCAGGCTAATTCATGTGTCGCCTGCAGCAGGCGATGCTGCTAAATCGATTAAAGAGTCAACAGATTTCGAATGCAAAACCGCCGCAGGGCATAAAATATGCATGCACATTGCCACCGTCTATATGTGCGACTGCATGTGTGCATGTGTGCGCCTGTGTGTGCGACTGTGTGTGTGTGTGTAGGCGTGCCTAATGGGCTATCTTGCACAGATTAGTGCCGTTAATTGCCGCTGCCCGCGTTTTTTGCTTAAATGAAAATTCAACTAAATAAATATGTGACTATTTAAATGCATTTCAATTACAATAAACAAACCGCAATAATTGAATATAAATGTCATAAACATTGTAAAGCCGATAACATTTCCATGCGCACATATGTACACATGCATGTACGCATGTATGCATGCATGTATGCATGCATGCATGTATATCGATATATTTACATACATGGGCGCACACCTGTTTCTATCTCTTTCTGGCTGGCCAATTATTGCTTGTGAATGATTTTCGCAAATGCATGAATTGAATTAATTGCCGCATTTAATGCGCTCGCCATTTTATAATTGCCCTCCCCCCGCCCCCCAATAATTACATGCTATTTAAAGAACTATTATAACGGACCTATTGCGTCTATCTGTACTGTTCAGGCATCGATAACTATCGATAATAGTTGCCAGCTTTGAGCCAAAAAAAAAAACATATTTCTTCAGAAATCGTCAAGATCGTATTTAATAATATGATTGGATAGTTTCTTAGTTGAGTTGAAACAAATATATAATTGATAATACTCACAGCTTTTGTATATATATGTATCTGTTTTAACAACACTCATAGCTGTGCTTGTGGTCAGTTTCGTTAACCAACACTTGTTCGTTTTTCAACACTGTAATTAAAGCTAAGACTTGTTAATAATTCCCAACATGACCTTACGGGTCTTCTCTTTATTGGACCTGTATTGACTTTAATTTAGCCAAGTTTTTTTATGGTCAACATAGCTACACACACACACACACACACACACACACACACACACACACACACACACATGTAACTACATTAAAATTGGCACATTAAATTACATGAAGACTCGGTACTTCTCTCTTCCCTTGTTGCCTAGGCTTTAGGCTTGTGGCCCATTCAAAAAGGCGACTCGCATAAGTGTAGAGCTTTTGAAAACACCACACACACCACACACACCACACACACCCAACTGAGTGGGGCGACAGGTAAAGAGTATAAATCCGCTGCTTTTGTGCTCGCCAACATTTTTAACATACTAATTAGTCGTTTGTAAGATTCATTATCATAATTGCAATTAACAACAAAAAAGGCGCCAAGGACTGGGGCCCAACCATGTTCGCGACGATGTCAACAAAAGCGAATGGCAAAGGGGGGAAAAGCAGAGCCGCAAACAGGCAACACACATCACAGACACAGCTGCTCCGCCTGCTGGTCGCCTAATCCTTGCCAGCTTTGCTCCTGGTTAAGCACCAGGCGTGGCTGTTGCATTGACTCACAAATCACATTAATCCGTTGATTGCGCCGACTTTGCAAGGGGCTTTAAACGGGGCTCAAAGCCGCTTTCAACTCTGCCTAATCCTGTCTAGCGACATTATCTATCTGTTCAGCCAAGGACTCGTTTCTAAATTGGTTTAAGCACATTTTTGGCTCGGCTCACACACTTGCTTTGAACCCATTTTGAAACTGTTTGAACTCCAATTGGGTTTTATTTGCCTCAAACCAGCTGAAAAGCTAACCCCAAATCTCGACTGACATGCTTGTATAGGGGATATCCATTAAA